CTCTCTCTCTCTCTCTCTCTCTCTCTCTCTCTCTTTCGCTGTCTCCTGCTTCTTGCTCCACGATTCTTATTTATCCCTATTTTCTAAATCCACGAGGTCCTATAATATAATATAATATAGGCTTTAGTACTCTATGATGTAAGCTAAACTAGAACTATACTATTGCGCCGTCTAAATACGACGTTCAGTATCTTAATTAATATTAGGAATATCGGCAGTGAAATTCCAATGACAGACGCGGCAGGCAGGCAATCAGTCCGGCAAAATCTGTGGCACTTGCGCTGTTCCGGTGCGTAACGAATAAAACTGATTTCGGGGTGCCCCGCGCGTTAATCTGTAATATTCATTATTGACATGTACGACGCACGCAATGTCTACAAGAATAACGAATCAAGATTAGATGGTGAAGGTAGGGGGGCACCCCACTGCTCGTACCGAGCAATCTCGCTTCTTTATTTCCACCATGGCACCTTCTTTCTCATCATATTCACCATCGATCGACATCATTGTCTTACTCTATCTTTTCTCCGTTTGAAAAATAATTTCTTTGCGATACTTGATGTGAAATGTGTCCACCAGCGATCACGGGTCGCCAATGTGCCTTTGCTCGATTTGATTAGAGTCAACGGAAATTGGTGACGAAATGTCCGAAACATAAAAATTACTAAGATTACAAATCACAAATGAAATCACAGACTTTCGTTGGTGGTTCGAATGGAGAGGGGTCGCACATTGCAATTAGAACAACATTGTAGGCATTGTCAGGAAAAGTTTGACAAGAGGCACAGAGAACTTGCATTCCTCTTTGCTCTTCATTCCCATCCATTCTCCTTGATCATATGGGCAAGTTCGATTATGAATTTTCCTTCCTTATACTTCTGACTTGACTCGAATGCATGCTCCTAGAAAGATCATGAGATAATCAAAGTCGTGAACTGTCTTTTATACAAGTTACTTAAATCAAAGGCTAACTAACGTATTTCCATCCTAAGGTGGTTTTACAACATTCACAATAGATATCGGCGACTGCGTGCAGCCCGGTCAATAGAACTCGCTCTTCCGCGGGACCACAACCTACGTTCACCCTGAATAACATAATTACAATTTTTCGAAGTGCTCCCCTTGTGGGTGTATGTACGTACTGCGCGCGCGTGTGTGTGTGTGTGTGTGTGTGTGTGTGTGTGTGTGTGTGTGTGTGTGTGTGTGTGTGTGTGTGTTGTATGTGCACGTATATACTGTTACGTAAACGAAATATTACGAGACTATAAAGCACTAATGAAAACAATTGCACCTAGGAAGAATTCGTATTTATTTCGAAATGCGCGATACCGTGCAATATATTTTCCAAATCGTAAATTATCGGAAAGATTCTTTTTTGAATAAAATTGAAAACTTACAATTATAGGGGTTTGCAAGTTTTAAATTCATAATTAAACGTTGTTCATACAAGTGTACAGTATAGAGAACAAAAAGAAATTTATTTAAAAAAAGAAAAGAAGAGAGATAGAGAGACAGAGAGAGAGAGAGAGAGAGAGAGAGAGAGAGAGAGAGAAAGAGAGAGAAGAGGAAACTGAACCACGCTAAATATAATACCGAGGAAACATTGACCCCCAAAGTCGAGCAAAAAATCAGTGTAGGTGCTATAAAAAAATGGTAATAATTTTTAGACAGCTATATATTGTATATTACTGAGACTATATATTGTATATTATACAAAATAAATATCAAATAAATATCGTACCAAGCCGTACGATACAGCTTCTTCTACTTGTATCGTTCTTCGATGATATACTTACACGGAATTAAAGAGATAGGCACGACCTTGACTGCCCTGGAAGGACTGAAATATAAAAAGCAAAAAGAATTGAATTTTATTAACGAATACGAGATAAGGTGCGCGATGTCTTAGCGAGCTCTGATTGTGAAAGAAAATACACGATACCCGCTGTTGTGTTGACTGATTGATGTACACGCTCACCTTAGAAATGAGTTCGTCGTGATTGGCGAGATGAGCACGGCAGTGAATGCACGAGTAAGTGCGATGACAGGAAGGTAGATACGCTTGAAAAGTTTTGACCATGATGAATGGCGTATCCAAGCGGGCAAGATACTTCGCTCTTGCTCCGTCCTATCCTTTTGCCAGGAGCACGAGGACAGATCTCTTCCTTCGCTAAAATTTGTCTTTTACCCAGTGGACACGAGACTGAAGGGATTTCACCGAAACGCGGGGTGGTGGTGCGATAGTGGCCCCGTTCACCGCCGCTTCGTACTCCGATCAGCTGTTGAGCTGGTTCAGACAGCGCCGGTTCGGGGACACCTGTAAAGTGAGAAATGATTCGTGCAAAGGAGTTTCCATTCAGACTTTTTTTTTAGAGTTCTCTGGCGATCTCCGTAATCGAGAGAGGCTGTTCTATACATGCATTGTACAGGACACGAAATCATATCGAACACGCGATATTCGCTTTCTTTAAAATCGTAAATTCTTGAATGAGTTTTAGAGAGAGAGAGAGAAAAAGAGAGAGAAACTATGAGGTTGACTTTCCTTTTCAAAAATATTTTGAAATGCACCGATAATTTTCCAACTACAAGCGATTGAGAAGAAGGAAAGTTCGGAAATCTCTTGCTTTATGCTGCTATTTTCACGTGTCTATATACGTATCTCATACCAACGATATATCGATCGTACGTTCGTTTTATATTCGTATGTACGTTCGTACGTATGTATGTGCATATATACATACGTGATACATATTTACATACGTATTGCGATGACAGTATTTATTTATGTGCGATATACAGAAATAGATATGGGAATTAGAAGTAAAATACAAATTGACAAGCCAGGATTACAATGATTCCGTTTCGTTTGCCCTCGATAAGCATACTTGTTTTTCACTTTATTTCCTCTCATATGAAAAAAAGAAAAACGACCGACAATGAGCCAATGTAATGACAACCGTGTAAATGATGTTGAAAGCATGTCGAAACCACGTAACTTTCAAACGTAATTATATCGGCGCGTATTCCGCGTATCGACTGACATGCCGCACGTGTTAGCGCGCGTCCAAACAAAGAGACAAGGCCGTTGTTATGAATCGTTAAAGATAGAGGCTTTTCTCTGTACATAGACACGTTTACTCCGCGTCTCATTCGTCCTTCTTTAGAACGGATGTAGCAGACATTGTTTATGTGACATAAATCACATATTTTCGCGAAATTCTCACTAATCGAAATTGATTGGTCATAACTTTGTGACACTACTTACTTCTTTTACGTCTACACTGATAAAAAAATTTATTCAATCTAAATAAATATATTTATTCAAATATGTTTTAGTTGCAATAAGAGGTTATTTATTAAATTATGTAATAAGCAATAATTCACTTTAAAAAGATATATAATAAAATTTAAGAAAAATTCTATCCAACGTGAAATAATTTTAAAATAAATAACGAATAAATATTATTAAGACACCGTTGCTCAAATTGAATAACGTATTCTTAACAACTGAAAAATCTAATATATTTAAATTCAGGAAATAGTTTTAAACAAATATTTTTTCAAACTTTTCAAAGTTCGAGTCCCACCAGTGCCAGTGAGAATTTTTAAATGTGATGTAACATTGAAAGCAACTTAGTCGTTCCTAAATATTATTCTTACACGAATTTTTAAAGAATTTAAAGAACCGTTCAAGAAATAAAAATAAAGAAAAATTCTCTAAAGTGAAGAATTTTTTATTCAAATTTGATAAATAGTTACTCAATTTTAGTCATGCAATATTTAAAAATAATATATAAAATAATTAAATAAGTAAATATTTTTTACAATTCCTTTTATGTATATCAAATCTAAGAAATAATTCATTAGTTTTTAGCAAAAAATATTTTATCCTGAATAATATTTCTTTTCAAATAAATACGCCATTGGTACCATTTTAGAAAATCATTTATTCAAAACAAATTATTTTTTTTCAAATTGACTACATTTTTTTATCACTGTAGTACGTGAAACGAACGTACACCAGACACTATAGTTGGGAATCGCACTAGACGCGACATAAGGTAGCAGCATTTCAGACGAAAAACATCAAGAGAGAGAGAGAGAGAGGGGGGGGAGGGGAAGGAGGAAGAAAAAGGCATAGAGAGAAAGAAAAGAGATAAGTATGAGGGAGAGGAGAGATCGGGAGGTAATCGCAACTGACTCAACGAAGAAGAAAACGTGTATGAGAACGAGTCCTAACGGATCGCCGAGAACAAAGAGAGACGGGACTTTCGAGTCGATACACTACTCAGGGTCATTGCTACTCAGAGATATACCCACTTCTCTTTCATTTCCTCCGCGAGAACACACGCGACAGCTGGCCTCAAGAATCGCAAAGTCTAGACAAACGCCGCGAGGTTGATTTAAACACAAGATTCTCGTAAGAATTTTATCTTATATCTACACGCAGAGCGTCACGAAATTATGAATTACATTACGAAACCTCATTATTATATAATGTCCAAAAGTAAGGAATAAACAATTTATAAACAATTTATAGATAAGCAAAGAAGTTTCTTCTTCGAGTTACGAGTGATCAAACAAAAACGATTTATCATGAACCAAGATGCACATGAATTGGAAATCATGTGTGATTCTTCGTTTATTCTCCGCTAAATTCATTCACTCGCTACAACTTTGATACAAACTGAAGTTACAGATAAACAATTTATCGCAATTTTAATATTTTTAAATAAATAGTACAAATTATAAAGAGCGTATCTCTTTTATCCCGTTGTATCGATCTTCTGCTGATTATATATGTCCGAATGGATATATATATACTATTAAGCCTTACAGATAAGGCTAACGTAGTGCTTCAGTATTGTAATACCGATCATCAGTGACTATCATAGCAGTCAACGTGTTAACATTATTAATTAAAAACTTTGCCGCAGTTGTGAGACAAACTGTGTTTCCTGAAATATTCTTCTAATGTACTTGGTGCGACTTTCCCCCATCTGATATGAACATCCCCAGTCCTGTTCGGAGAAAAGCGAACGGAGGTTTGACAGCCGAAGGCCACGTCAAGAGGCAAAGCCCCTTTAGTTATTTATAAACCGTCTTCTGTACGCGAGAGTTTACATGAGTCGTGACCCTTCAACTCGCTCATCAACTACGTATGACATGAACAGAGCTCCGTTTGAAGATCAAATGACGGCAGCCATTGCCCTCCCTACAACGTCGTTGCAACTCGTAACGCACCGATTATGGCATGGTCGATAGGCAGACAAGAAAAGTTCAATCGTATAAAAACGAGAGAAAAAAAACTACCAAGCACGCACTTCGTATCGCTACACGACGATGCCGTCGTGCACAATCAGCTGATAGCCCAATCAGCTGTAAATGTACACAAAACCGTCGTCCAACAGGTTCACGCGGTCGCATACAGCGCGATACGATGCGATGCGACACGACGCGACACCACGTTCGATCGATGTGCTACGTACGTACGTATTGAAAAGAATCATTACACTTGTACATAATTATAACACTAGCTCGACAAATAAGACAGATCGAAAACTAAAGTCAAATTTTTGTAACGTGACAAAACTCTAACATAGACGCGTCGATGCAACTCAACATGTACTCACAGAGAGAGAGAGGGAGAGAGAGAGAGAGAGAGAGAGAGAGAGAAAGAGAGAGAGAGAGCGGTAAGCGCGATGGACTGTACTAGGAGAAGTCAATTCGGGTCATCGTTCTTTGTCGCGTACGCTTATTTTCTTTACGACTCGTTCATAGAACATGGTTGTCGAATTATTATATGAAAAACAAAAAACAAAATAACTGTCCGAAAGGTGAGAATATTTATCTAGTAGTAATTGAAATCTTTGAAAAAAGCGTTCAAAGACCCATTTTATAGAGATTATAGTTTTGATATTTTCAAGATGCAACAATTGAATCAACTGCGGATATGTATGTACATGCAAAATAACCTAATATGCATTATTCAGCGGCGTTCCCGTTTGTGATAGACATACAAGCGTGTCATATTTATAATACTGTGTGTACGTTGTCATCGAGAAAGAAAGAGAGAGAAAATTATTACATCCGTAAGAGAAATTAATAAAATATGTTCTGCGAATACATATTGATAACGATTACCACAAAAACCATCAAAATCGTCAAACAACGATCAAACTTTATAGAGAATACACATATTATTTATAGAAAAAAAATTTATATCCTAAAGAAATAGTAAATTTTAATCAACTAGAAAAAGTCGTGCGATAAATTAATTAAAAAAAATCATATATATATATATATATATATATATATATATATATATATATATATATATATA